AAACTGTTGTTCTTTTGGTGTGTATCTTATCGCCTTTTCTCTTAGTGGTGCTCTTATTGATTGCAGTTTTTCTCAAACCTGTGTAAATTGGTTGAGCAGCATTTCAAAAAAGAGAATAAGCTTCTAGTTATAAGCTTTTAGTTATGGTCAATTTGTTTTGTTTTTTTACTTTTATTAACAACATTACAGCCACATTGAAGCACAGCATGGAAGGAGCTTAGGAGCCTTCTGACTGATAGAAGTAAATTACTTACAATAAGAGAAGCAACATCATGCAGTTTGTCAAATATGTTGCTATAAAAAATGTCTCATTAATTTACCAAAATCCAAAGAACAGCTGGTTGACAGTTCAGGATATATAAAGCCAGGAATGCACTTTGGGATCTTTTCAATCGTTGCACACAACTACAGCTCAAACTGTACGACAAAACCACAGGGTTGTGCAGCCCAACACTCTGATGCGACCTTACGACTAGCGACTGAATTTCAATCATGTTTGATTTTTCCCCAACCTTATGATTCCTGATAGTCGTGACAGGCTGGGTGGCTCTCGTTACCCCCTGCACACTACACAATGCACCATCGGGCTGAAAGTCAGCCCGATTGGGAAAAACTCTCGCACAACTGGAAAGTCGCTCCGAAAAGGCCAAAAAAAATAGTACAGTGTATGCCCGGCTCAAAGTGGTCACTTTTAAGCCTGTTTTCACTAAAACTGTGTTTATTTCCTGGTGGAAATCTCCTGAAAGGCTTCAGATTATTTCCAGAGAATGTCTTGCATGTCTGACCTCTCTCTCATCTCTCTTAGCCGCATTCTGCCTATTGAAAGTGTTATCTAAGTTAGTTGGTAGTTACGATTGGATTTTGAAGTTTCTGATTGGCTGGTCCGCTGTCGGTACCAACCAATCTGAAAATCTTGCTTGATTTGATGCATTTTCAATGCTATGTTTGACTTTAATATCTGCTGTTGGAAAACTTTGCCTCTGAAAGGGCCTGAATCGGTCAGTGAACTGTTTCTTTGTTGCTTATGGTAAGTTATACATGGAGGATTATAGTGCTCCCATCATGCCTTGCTGCAGACATGAAGCTACGCCCAGAAAGTGTTTCTATGGACCAGCTTGAACAACCTTATCTCTGTATAGTTCGAGAAAATCTTTTTATTTTTTTATTATTTTTTCAGAACAGTCTTGCTTCAAACTCATATTTCCACTGAAATAACATTTTTCCACGGGGTTGTTGTGTTTTACAGGTTCATGCCATTCCTCTTCGATCTTCCTGGGTCATGACTTGTGCATATGCACCTTCAGGAAACTATGTTGCCTGTGGTGGCTTAGACAACATCTGCTCCATTTACAACCTGAAAACACGTGAGGGGAATGTACGTGTGAGCCGTGAGCTCGCAGGACATACAGGTATATTTTAAACCCCTTACAAGTGCAATGAATTTATGAACAACTGCAGATTTACATGGAACTGTGTTGTTTGCCTTTTATTGACTGGTAACTTCTCAAACTTCTGTTTGTCTGTTAGGATATCTGTCCTGTTGTCGCTTTATTGATGACAACCAGATTGTTACAAGCTCTGGAGATACCACTTGGTAAGTTGAAGAATTGGCCAGAATCCTTGTACCTGTGTTTTCTTGAAAAGCCCAGAATTGAGGGGAACCAAAAAAAACACTCTTTTTTTTTGTTTGTTTTTTTCTGCAGTGCACTTTGGGACATTGAGACAGGCCAGCAGACGACTACATTTGCTGGACACACAGGCGATGTCATGAGCCTGTCTCTGAGCCCTGACCTGCGGTCATTTGTCTCCGGTGCTTGCGATGCCTCTGCTAAACTCTGGGATGTTCGAGAGGGCATGTGCAAGCAGACTTTTACCGGCCACGAGTCTGACATTAATGCTATCTGTGTACGTTTATCTCCAACATGTACTCAAGTTTTAAACGCACACTCCTAAAGCGGCCAATGATAATATTTTTCCTATTAACCTTTCAGTTCTTCCCTAATGGCAATGCCTTTGCCACGGGCTCTGATGATGCCACCTGCAGGCTGTTTGATCTGCGAGCTGATCAAGAACTGATGATCTACTCTCATGACAACATCATATGTGGCATTACCTCTGTTGCATTCTCAAAGAGCGGCCGCCTTCTGCTGGCAGGATACGATGACTTTAACTGTAATGTGTGGGACACACTAAAAGCCGACCGTGCTGGTAAGTATCTGTGAATGCACTCAAACATTAGGGTGTCTGGTGCTGCATATGGATCTCATAAGTGACTGGGAGGATTATGAAAAAAGAATAATGTGTAACTTTGCTGTGTCTTCACATGTAGTTGACATGAGAATGGGGAAAATACTAAAAAGAAAGTCTTGTTAGCAACCACAGTGGTGGAGCTCCAAATCTAAAGATAAATGCTGAATTTCAAAGCTTATTTGTAACAGGGACACAGGTGCACAAAATTCAAAAAACAACATATTGCTCTTTGATGTTGATTAAAAATCTGGAAGAAGTGATTTTACATATAAAGAATAGTGACATAAAGCAATATTGTGCCTCAGGCTGCAGCCGTCTTAACAGTAGCATGATAAAATGCTCCTGGTGTGAGCAGGGGAGCAAAAGGCATATATATAAACAACAATGTGTAAACTTGGTAATGTCTGCTCAAACACACCTTAAATGAATCCAATACCTCTTCAGCATGCCACCAGATGCTGCGGTTCTATTAAACACCCATTCATTGGAGTCAGGTGTGTGAGCGTTACTAAGAACCACTGCTCTAAAATAAAAAAAGAAATAATGCAGTGCACCTTCACTCATAGGGAATTTCTATAAAAGTGAAGTAGATTCTGAAGGCTGTTAAAGTCCTAAATTTTATACTAAAAATGTTGGCCTTTACAAAGTCAGAAACACATCCAGATTTATTAAACTATGGATTAAATTACTTTATAGTTTAAGATCCTGGCCTACTGTTTTAATTTGGAATCTTAAGTCAAAACTATATGTGACTCAAAGCCTCAAAGATCTTTAACAGGCTCAACCTATATGTAGAAATACTGAGGACTTCTGATACTTTAAAGCTAAATAAATGCACAAAGTGAATATGGTTTAAGTGTAATGTTTGTACCATACTGTTCCATCAAACACTATAGTAACTGATTATTTATTTTTTTTCTTGTAGGTGTGTTGGCTGGACATGACAACCGCGTTAGCTGCCTGGGAGTTACTGATGACGGCATGGCAGTTGCAACGGGATCCTGGGACAGTTTTCTGAAGATCTGGAATTGAAGCCTGAAGGTTCTTTTTGTCGTATTTGCATTAAAGGTAGGGAAGCACTAATCCATTTGATTTCAATTTCTCTTTAGGAGCCGCAACTCAAATGGTGTTATAGCCTTCCCTTCATAAGCATTTATTAATCGAGATAGAAGCAGATGTGATGTTGGGCTTTTCTAGGGGAACAGTTTATGTAAAGCTAGATTTGATGTCCTATTTTTAAACTAGGAAAAAATTAAAAATGTGATCTGTTTTTATCATCTCTGTTTTAGTTAGCATGCTGCTAGCATTACTCAGACAGCAAACACTCTGTATTTTCTTAATGATGGAAAAACCTTTCACTGACACTGAAATTTCTGCAGGCTTGCTCTCATATTCAAATCTAGCATGTTTCCCGATGGGCAGAAGTAAAAGCTCAAGAGAATAAAGCAGAGCAACTTTTCTGTTCATTATTCTTACCTTTATCTGCTGAAAGTCTTGCTCTATCTCCCAACCTGAATGAAATGCCTCTATATCTTCCATGTCATAGAAAAGGTTCATTGTTTAACCTTCTTGCATTTAATTTGTCCTGACTTCACCTAAATGCCTCATTGGTACTATGAAAATAACATGCTGTAGTAGCACGATCCATATCAAAGAGTGCTGTCATTGCCCTCTTGTTGTTGAATTTCCGATTCCCCCTAACGGGTTATTTATTTCTCTATCCATCTCTTGTTTCTCTTAAAATCTATAATTCATTCAACTCGGGCGTTTACCCAGCTGCTGAGTGTAAACATCGGTCTATCTGCTTCCGAATAGATCTCTGCTGTCTTTCTCAGTGTTCTGTTGTTTTTCTTCTCCAGATGTTCTTTTAACTCCAAAGTTGACTGGAAGACCATTACAACTTGAGAATGTTCACAGCATCATCTTCAACACTGTTTAAACTGACTTGGACACCACAAAAACGAAGGGAAACAAATGCCTTTCCTACACAAAGAAGAGCACAATTGTTTATCACCTAGTTAAGAAAGGATCTCCTGTGGTATCGAATCAGAAACTTGTGCATTCCTTCTTGGACCATTTTATGTTACCTTGAACGAGAAAACAACACTATCATCCCATGCAAATGTGTGCGTCTTGAAAGCAAATGTTGGAGTGTAATTGTACAAATTATTTAACTTTTTTTTTTTTCTTTTTTCTTTTTTTTTTTTTTTTTAAGATTTCTATTCTGATGGTTTATTATTCTTGATGGCTTTTTCTCTTTGACATATTTCTTTAGTGGTTTTAGATATATTTGAATTACAGCTTGTCTTTGTAATCCAGGTAAATCATATGAGAAAAACATGCAGAAGTAAAAGCTTGGATCATATTACACGAGCAGCTTTCGAATTGTCCATGATGTATTTATATTCTAGCTGTTTTTGTTCCACCACGGCTCTTTGCACATGAAGCTTCGCCTCTAAACTAATAACATTGTTAATTAACCAGGCACATGCTATAAGTTATGAATGCTCATTCCAGTACAAACGGAGTTATGAGGAAAATTATCCAATTAGACCCCTGGATTCTTGTACATGCCTTTTTGACTTTTGGTTGGAAAGGGTAAGGACTTAGGTTTTGAGTTAAATAAGGCATGGCTTGAATTGACTATATAGAGGGGGCTTTGTGTTCTGTATCCACTTTGAGTGAAACACCTCACCTGACTTAAATACACACTTCCTTTGCTTGGGACTGCAGTTACAACTCTGTGAATGAAATGTACAAATCAATGTCTGAAAATAATGGTCTGATGTTTTAAGTTAAGACATGAAATTTTGTCTGCCATGAGTTAATTTAGATGTGCATGCTGTAGACTTGCTTTCAATGGTGCAAAAACCCTAGATTTTCTTTTACCAAAAAGGAGAGTTGACCTATTGATTGAATTTAATAGAAGCCATTTTTTTTTGGCTCCAACTCTGCATACATCATGTACTAATACTGGTAATGCTATGCACCAGAGTGGTCAAGAATGATGAAAGGCTTGATATTAACTTCATACTTTGTGTAAATTATGCTTACCAGTTCTATCAATGCCAATTTGCTTTTTAATATAAATCATTGTGAGAAATCTATCCTCTCTCCTTCCAATCTTCACATTCAATGGAACAAAAATGTCCTTGCATACTGTCCATACTAAAACTTTTGTACATTTTTAATTTTTACTTTTTTTTTTTTTTTGGTCTTAAACTGAAAATCAGAGCATCTGAATGCCATTTCACTGTATACAGAAGCACTTTTGTTAAGGTTGTGAGATTGGTTCACCTTTTCTTTTTTTTCTTTTCTGCAATGATGTACAATAAATGTGATGTATTCGTGTGTGGCCACAAGTGAAAATGCGATTCAACTGAGATTGATTCTCCTTTTCTCTTTCCATTGATAATATAGAGCTCTGCACTCTTATGTACCTTTCCACTTTTTGTATTTCATTTCAGTCTGTTGGTGTTCCACGGTGAGCTGGATGCAAGATAGATACTGTACTAAACTGTACTGTTATTGATTGAAAAATGTAATAAAAAGCTGTTTGAGATCTCTTTTGGTGCATTGAATTAAACCGCTCTAAATTAGGTGAAATGTTTTACATTAGTTTAGAGATTTACAAAAACAGACACGATTATTTTGACTTTTTCCTTCCATGAACATGATAAAAATGAATTAAAGTAATATTAAGAAATCAAACCAAACATTAATAATGAATAGAATGAGCAGCTATGCATGAACTTGATCTCAATGCATGGCTGCTGAATGCTGAAACCAATACAAGACAATAAAAAAGCTATTATCAGTGTCTATCTCTTGGCTAGATTTACCAAACTTGTAACCTTTGTTACTAGGTAATTCTGAGCCACTTAAATAAAACCTTGATATGATCTTCAATATTTGAAGTTACCTCTTATATGAGGATAATCATACAATAATGCTTGCATAACTTGTTGTAGTGACATGATAAGTTGAGCAGACTTGTTTTATGGTCTTGTATGTTTCTGTTGGGCCTGATTATGATTAGGCCGGTATGAGATTCCCAAGCTAACCTAGATCAAAAAGAGCACACAAGTTTAACATCTTATTTTAAAATAACTTGATCTACTCTATTTTAATGGAAAAAGACACAAAAATATAATGAAACTTTTTTTTATACAACTAAAAATCTCAAGGTTTCTACGTGAAACTATAAAAATGTGTAACGGTACCTTTTTCGGTAAAAAAAAGCTTTTAATGGTAAGCTATTTAACATCATTCAATTACAGTTTTAGTTAAATCCAAACTATTTGAAACAAAAGCAGCTGTCCTGCATGTTTTCATTAGAATGGTAGCCAACGAAAAACATTACAGTTAAAGGTCCTGCAAAGACCAACATGTTTTCCATTGAATTTGCTAATCAACTGGCGTACAAAACATACACTGGGTACGCTTAATATTCAGTCGTTTTATTCTATGATCTCTTTTCCTTGAACATGTTTTCATAAAGCATGTTTGTAATAAGTAATAATTGAACCTAACAATAGCCACATATGTTTATAGGTTCGTAGTCCAGGCTGCATTACAATAGGGATGGAAAAAACTTTTTTGTACGCTTGTTGGCGGAGTTTTCTAAAGGGTGCACATTTTCTAAAGAGTGCACATTTTGCACATTTGTTCAAATGTCGAGAACAGTGACCAGTCCTTTTACTACAAAATAAAATATATATATAGATATATATAAAAATAAATATATTTTGAAATATTGCTTTGGGGTGTGGCGGCTTAGTGGTTAGAGAATTGCGCTTTCTGAATTGCGTGGTTCTGAGTTCAAGCCCCACTACATAAACTACCTCTCTGGGTCCCTGAGCAAGACCCTTAACCCCACACTGCTCCCCAGGCAATTAATAAAAAAAATAATAAAAAAAACTATATATATATATATATATATATATATATATAGTTATGTTAAAGTATTTTCTTAAAAGGATGGTTTTGATTATATACCTGTTCCTTAATCTAAACCAATTTGTTAACTTCTTTATGACAGGTTTTATTTCTGTTTTCCTTTGTGCTGATCACCGCCATCTTCCCTTTGCTGTCCAACCAGCTCAGCAAGTTGCCGGAAACAGGAAACTCTGTCTACGGCGACTCATGTCGAAGGGGGGAAAAGAACCAATCAGACTGAAAATCCGCGGTGTAATTCATCTTATTGATAATTATTCCATAATCACTACGTATTCCTGTAACTTTTTATGTTTTATTCAATGTTAAATTGATGGTAGATTATTCCATTCTGCTTTAAAAATACGCGAGTTGGAGAAAATGACCCCTTCTGAGAATGGTTCAGTCCAATGATGACGAATTTCCTGCTTCGCTTAACTCGAGCCATTTTGGAAGGCCTTACGTAGCGTCGTCTGTCTTCTCGTGGAAAAAAAATCTTTAACCAGTGTTTTACTTTACGTGTTTGTCGACGCGACCTCTTGTCAAACTTGTAAAACGTCGTTAACTTACGTAAACAGGTTATAAGAGAGAATCGTTTTATGAAGTTTGTTCTCTGGAGAAGTGCTTTGGAGCTGTTGTCATCCGGTGTTGACGCACAACAACGTCCCGTCTTGCATCGAACAAAGGACTAAAAGCGATGTTCCTCCGTTAATATATCTGAATTATTAAAAGAGCAACACGTTAAATCTATCCTGAAAAAAAACTTTTTTTTCCTTTCGTTTTTTGTGGAGAATATTTTTTTTTTCCCCTCAGAGAGGGAAAACTGATTCAGCTCTGTTAGCATCAGCTAAGGTTAGCCGTACTAGCAGCGAGCTAACCGCGGTTCAGTTTTCATTTAGGAAACATTTGTCATTCGGCGTAGAGAGCGAAAATGGCCGAAGGCTACATTCGGGTGGCAGAGGAGGAAAACGAGGAGCCCATGGAGATCCCCGCCGAGGACGATGGGACGGTTCTATTGTCCACGGTAGCTGCTCAGTTTCCAGGGGCGTGCGGCCTGCGCTTCAGGAGCCCCGTGTCTCAGTGTATGCGAGGAGTGCGTCTCGTGGAGGGAGTCCTTCACGCGCCAGAAACCGGATGGGGGAACGTTGTTTACGTGGTGAACTATCCAAAAGGTAAACATACACACGGTCTGTATGTGAAGGACTACTTTATTTATAATTCATGGGCTGGTACCCCGCAGTGGACGTTTATTTATATAAAAAACACTTTTATTAATGAACATACAAATTTGTCATTTGTTTTTTTTTTCTTCTTCACAGAAGAATTTTTGTCCATTATATAATTTGATCATTCTTTTTTGTTCCTTCGTTTGAATAAAAGATACATTAGAAATGGGCTTTTACCTCTAAATCGCCTTAGATCAAAGTAATTATCCAAAATAGATTAAATCTGTGTTCATTCTTACAAACGCTGACTATAACAAAGACCTGTAACTTAATACAAAAATTTTAGTCTAGTAGATCTTGTTAACTTACTAGGAAATATCCATGAATATCTTTGACTCAGGTGGCTAATTTCAAGCATGTTGTTTTATGGTCTTTAAATTTGTTGTAAGGGTCTTTTGATTATTGCAAGTTTTTATGTGGGTACATTCATATAAAATAAATAATGACATCAAATGTCTTCAGGCTAGGAGGTCAGCAAAAAATATATACTTTGCTTTGAATATGTATTACTCCGTAGGTGTTATCCATTTCATATAACATTACTTTACTTGTCATCCTGAACAGCTTGGCTTTCTGTGGGTGATTTAAAATAAAATAGACATTTTTTATTTGTTTTCATTTTAGACAATAAAAGGAAAATGGATGAAATTGATGCCTCCTCTGCTGTGAAGATGAAGAGGGGAGACATGAAGACCTCTGACTTGATTGTTCTTGGTCTCCCTTGGAAAACAACTGAACAGGATCTGAAAGACTACTTCAGCACATTTGGGGAAGTCATAATGGTTCAGGTACCTCTCATAACACACTTGCTTATTAATCCTTTTCTTAAGGCGTAGTTCCATAAATGTTTACGTTTTTTGCGGCTCTTTCAGGTAAAACGAGACGCTAAGACTGGTAACTCTAAAGGATTTGGCTTCGTGAGGTTCACAGAGTACGAGGCTCAGGAAAAGGTGATCTCCCAGCGCCACATGATCGATGGGAGATGGTGTGACTGCAAGCTTCCTAACTCGAAGGTGAATATGGTAATGTCCATCCACATAGCTGCTTATAATGGGCAAAAAAAATGAATTAACACGCTATAATAACTACCTTCCCCTCATGTTGTTTACAGCAAGGTCCCGATGAGCCGCTTAGGAGTCGTAAAGTGTTTGTCGGTCGTTGCACAGAGGACATGACCACAGATGACCTCCGTCAATTTTTCATGCAGTACGGAGAAGTCACAGATGTTTTCATCCCCAAGCCATTCCGTGCTTTTGCCTTCGTTACATTCGCAGATGATCAGGTATTGTATTAAACACAATCTACTGTCCTGGTGTTCCTTATAAATTTTAGTGGTGTTTTTTAATCACACTGTTTAAGACCCTCCAGGGCTCAATGTTAACCATTGCCCAATCTACCGGGGCAAGTAGTTTTTATTGTTGGGAGAGTACAAATTTCATTGCATTTGCCTGCCGGGCAAGTGCAATGATTGCAAAAAAAAATGTATCACTCAATATTACTTTAAAATCACCGACATTCGATGAAAACGACACAGAAGCGTTGCCGGTGCCATTTTTGTTGTTTTGTACACATTCTTGCGTGATTTGAAAAGGCGCGTGATTTGAAATTGCCCGGGGATTTTCCGCCAGATGGCGTGAGTTTTGTCCATCTAGCAGTAATTTTGATGTAGTTACCAAAACGACAAACAGCTGCATTTATTTTGTCAGGGAAAACTAATCCTGAGTCAGTTAAAAGTCAGGGAATTCTGAAATTATGTAAGACTGTGGAAACCCTGTATAAAGTAACTATGTATAATGATTCTTTAGAAAAGTTACATTATATTAATAGTATTATCTTGTATAAACATACTGTGACTCTAAAATAAGTTATTCATTGTCACATTGACTTCTGTCTTGTGATTTATCTTAAGTTTTTAACCCTAAGATAAAAAAATCTATATTTTTCCAAGCACACAACAGTTTAAAGTAAAGTTTAATTTGAAAAGAATGTGCAGGAAGGATTAAAAAGCATACAAGCAACACAGTAATGTAGGCTTGAGTTCATTACCTGACACATGCATATACACACCAGGGACCTGTAAACTTAAAAAATACTGAATTACAAAAAACATTTAAAAAACAAACATGTTTCATTGATATATATATACAAAAATGAATATTAGGAACTATATTTATCAAACATTTTACTGGGCAAGTAAAACTTGTTCCTGGGCAAATTAAATGTGAAAGTCCGGCAAGTGGTAAAAATCCTTAACGTCAACTCGTGCCCTCAATAAAGGTTTTAATGTCAGATAATGGTAACTAGATTAAAAAACCACCTTTTAAAAATATTTTGTAGGGTGTAATTTATGTGATTATATATAGAATTCAGTTTCAATACCCTTGTTAAGGCTTGATTACTACCAAAGGTGTAGAATCACTTGCATAGATGGCTAAAATAGACTACACAGTCTTAAACATCGACTAATATGCTGTCATCTAAAGAAACCAAATGGATAACAACATCATAAACATCCCTCCATCTACAAAGGATTACAAAGCCATTTCAAAAAACTTTGCTCGAGCAAACCACGGCTAAAGCCATTATCCACAAATGGAGAAGCAATAGAAGAGTGGAGATTTTTCCCAAGAATGGCTTTAAGATCTTTCAATCAATGACAGGAATCATGAATAACTGTTCATGAGAACAATTCCTCTCTCGAGGGCACCATTAATAGGTTCATGTTTGTGTGGTTAACTCTTATATTCCCTTAAATTCAGTAATTGGTATTTATTTTAGTTATCTATGATTATCGTTTAGAACAGTTTAATGACCTAAAGTATGATGAAAAAGGAAAAGACAAACGTTTGGTGCTAAAATTTTGTTTGTGTTGTTTGTCCCCCACAGGTTGCCCAGTCTCTTTGTGGAGAGGATCTCATCATCAAAGGTGTCAGCGTGCACATCTCAAACGCTGAGCCCAAGCATGGCAACAGGCAGTTTGATCGCACAGCCCGCTTTGGAAATGGTTTCGGGGCCCAGGCGTTCGGTAGCAACCGTAGTGGGTTGGGGAGCAGCGCCAACAGTAGTCTGGCTAATTTTGGTTCCTTTAGCCTGAACCCTGCCATGATGGCCGCTGCTCAGGCTGCTCTGCAAAGTAGTTGGGGTATGATGGGTATGCTGGCCAGCCAGCAGCAGACGTCCACCTCAGGTAGCAGCTCTAGCGGGACAAGTTCAAGCAGGGAACAGGGTCAGTCTTTCAGTGCAGGCAACAGCAACTATGGCACCAGCTCGGCCAGTCTGGGCTGGGGTTCAGGGTCAAACTCTGCAACCAGTGGTAGCGGCTTTAGCTCAGGGTTTGGATCCAGCATGGAGTCAAAGTCCTCTGGGTGGGGTATGTAGGTTTAGTGTTTCTATGGTAAGTATCCAGAGAGATGAGTGTTTTAAAAAGTTTGCTTCTGGTGTTGATGCGTTTATGACATCTAAAAACTTTTGTGAAAGATGTTTTGTACATTATAACAAAAACAAACAAAAAAAAAACTGCTAAAGATATAATTTAGGGATTGTTGCAGTGAATTGTTTACCAGGATCTCTGACTAAAGTGCTATTTTTGCTGTCCCGTATGTTTGTATCCATTTCAACTGGATTCTCTAATGCATGTATTGTGAAATGTGACGCCCCATTTAGAAAATGCATGAATGTCTGTGGTTCACCATTATCCGGCTTTTGTCACCATCAGCTTGAAAGGCAATCTTGCATTGGAAAGAATCTGGTTGAAAACTAAATGTCTATTTTTTATTTTTTTATGAGTACAACTTTATTTGCAGTCAAGTTCTGTGGAAAAGCCTTCACTGAAATCTCTTCTGCAGTATACTTCTCTTCCATTTCCCTGCGAGGAAGCTCCTCTTTGGCAGCATTCTTGGGGTGATACCCGTATATCTCCCTCTTCCCACCTGTAAATGCTATACCATCAAAGAACGGCCTCACTCCGCATGGTCTGAGAGACGGTGGGTGTTTTCACTTTTATCCACTTTTTTTTTAAATGGAGAGAACTGCGCAACTGACATTTTAAGAACTGATGAGTGCGATTGAGGATGGCTTGTGACGAGGAGTGAAGCAATGAGTGAGCGAACGGAGAGAGGCGCGTGGAAAGGACTGGTTGTGCAGTGGTAGAGCCCAAATCTGACTGCTTTCTGAGTGTGTGAGTGGAAGCTGCGGATGCGACAAGCGCCTCCCCTAACATGGACATTCTTTAATTATTACGTCAAGATTTGTCCCTTTTTTTTGTACCTTTGCAAGTTTTTTCCTTCCTTCTGAGTATGTCTAAGTGCAGAAATATAAAACCTGTAGTGGAATGTTGTGATGAATATTTGTATTGCTTGTATTACCTGATTTGAATGCTGTATGGTGTGTGCTTTCATGTTAATCGAACTGATCTGTAAGTGTGTTCTTGATGTGGATGACACCTGCTGAAGACTCTGGGGGGCCGCGAGTGAGGATGTGAGAACGTGGAGACGTGTGTGTCCAAGGATGCCCAGTAGCTCTTTGTTGTTTGTGAGGTGTTTTAAAAGAAAAAAAAAAACATGTCAAATGAAGAGAGTTCTCTAATAAAGTTCATTTGAATAGTTACTTAGCTTATGCTGCTTGAGTTGGTTTGTCAAATCGAAAACATCTAATTCGATTCACATATCTAGGGACCTTGGGCTCTGCTGGTCGAGGTCTCCGTTTGAACCCTGACCTGAAGGATGAAGATGGAAGTTCCAACACTTTCAGTGTGTGGCCTTCTCAGACATGACATGGGGTAGTACCTGTCTTTTTGCTGCTTTCATTAGATTGAATTCCTTTTTATAACCATCTACCTTTAAGGTACATCCAGGTAAAAACTAGTTGATCACTCATTTGCGTCGAAGGGAAATTTGTAGCTCAGTACCGTATGCAAACCTTAGAATTCCAGGTTACACCATGTAGTTTTTTTTTTTTTTTTCACCCTGTAAGATCCTTTAAAACATGTGTAAGTTCTGATGTATTGAGTCAGGAGTCAAAGTGCCATGCAGCTTTTGGATGTTTTCCTGGTTTAAACAATGCAAATCCACATGCCTGCTAATCCACAAATTGTCTCATTTAGGTGTGTTAATGCAGGAACACCTTAAAACTAAGGACTAGAGATGGAAACTTGTGGATTAAATGGTTTATTTATTGGAGCTATAAACCTTAGGCAGCTTTCCTGTTAGATAAGTACTTATGGTTCCATCAGTAACAGTTTACCTTTCAAACTCAAGTCAGAGATGAGTCATAAACATGTAAAAGACCATACTGATATGAAGTGTTTTAGCAGTAAACCCTCCATCTGTATTCTTGTTTCTTTAATATCTTTGAAGCCTTGATAGCATTTCCAAATCTGTTTTGTGACAGAACCAAACTCCTTGCTGTATTGTCTTCAGCAATTTTCCTTCCTTCTGTCTCTTTAAGCTGCCTGCTAATATATTCAGCAAACTGTCTTATGATGTAATGTCTTCCTCAACATGTGAGGTGTTTTTATTAGAATGGTGATAAGGTATGGTTTGACATCCACCAGGGTTAACTTGAGCTGATTATTTCTTGGTTTATCTCTGCTTTTTTGCTTTATAAACATTACACATCGAGTCACTTGAAATCCTAAACCAAAGTTTGTTCAAAGTGTAGACATTAGCTTTCTTTTTGCCATTTTGGCTGCTGGTTCCAGCCTTCAAAGGTGTAAACCGTAGCCGTGCATCATTTTGTACTCATTTATCTGCTTTATTATTAAACCATTTTTCTGCATAAATTAGGTTATTTGACTCCAATAAGTAAGGCAGCATCTGCGGGGGGGTTACATTTTTACTGTGGGTCAAACTTTTTATAAAAATCTGCCACCCCAAACTGGCATAAGAACTTTATGTATATAAAAGTTATAGAACACATCCATAAAATAAATGCATCTTTGCTCATTTGAGGGTTTGTTTCATTATAAACACGCACAAAAATAAACAGTTGTATGAATAGATCAGGACAAAACATCAAATGACATTGAAGCCTTTTTTGGTCAGTCTTGTTTTTCTATTCATGTTGGGCATATGTCAGGTGCTGCAGGCTTCCCAGTGTCCTCATTCTTTACTTTCCTCCTCTGTGTCTCTGCTCTTCCTCTTCCCTGTATTCTTCTTTCTGGTATCTTTCTGCTCCTGGGCCAATTCTTCACTTTTATTTTGTATGTGTCTGGACTGAAATAAAGAGACATGAAACAAATCTATAATGTGTACTGTAGAATATCTATGCATTACATGTACAACATTGGTATACTGAAAGTATGACATGAAATTGTCATTTGATTTTACAACTAACCAGAGCAGTACTGCGACGAGCTAGAAGCTTCACATCCTCTGCAGACACCGTAGTTCTTTTAGCATGTCTAAAAGACACAATAAGTTGAGCTACGAAGTTCTTGTGTAGTATTTAACCAACCAACAGTTATAATTTGGTTCAACTTGAAGTCTTACCTTGCAAAAGCTTCTAGATCTTTGGCAAATATATCTGAAAAAGAAAGTCAAAGTATTTAATCTTTTATTATATTTATTGGGTTACAGAGGAATGTCCCTACAGCTTTTTCAGAATAAGCATTTAGTTGATTAAAATTAAACAATTGTATACAGTTGTAAAATTTGCATCAAAAGGTAATCACTAGATGGATCCACTCTAGAAGTCCATAAAGGCTTAAATAAGACTTAGATTTTATTTTTTCATTTTATATACATGAGTGTAAAAATTTTTTTATTAAGAACAGCTCTCTAGACTATATCATTTTTTAAAGTGCAGCCTTGATAAGATAAGCAGCAGTGACGAAAAACAGTAATGTAATGTAAACTTATGACTGTATATTCAGTTCTAATGTGTAGGTTTGTTTTTTTAATAACCCATTTTACATAACATTCAGCAGTCATTTACGGAACCATGTGAATTCAGTTCAGTAGTTGTTAAAAATAGATCTATTATTTGTGTGTTTTTAGCTTTCTTACTATATTTAAAACATTTGAAACATATCTACTGGTCCAGAAAGTAATTTACGGTAAAATACACATTTGGGGTACTTTTTTCACTACCAGGTTTTCTGTGTTTATTGTAAAGTTTGTCTTTAATAATTTTTTTAAGTGGGATTAAAAAGTCTTGAATTTAACTTGCCTTATGCTGTATGAACCCTTTAACGGGCTTAAAACAAAGTTAAAAATGGAGTTTCAATGCTAGCACTTTTAAAGGTTACAACTTTTCTAAAAAGGCTTTAACAAACAAAGTTATTTAAATATAATTCAACTAATTTTGCAAGAGGTTCTATACGTTAGCTGACTGAATTATATAGTAAACTGAGTGCAGAATCCGGATTTAACATTCATTCTGGTGTATTTCTTTTAATGAACCATAGCAGCACATCCAATTACTTTGTCAACACAGGAGGCTAAGTCTTTATGCGTGTAAATATTGAGTCTAAAGTGATTATTTTCCAGTAATAAACAGAAGATCCTGAATCGACTCCATGCAGAAACTCACCGCACTCTCTGAATGTGGTCTCTGCTATGGCTGCCACGGCCTGCCGGCTGAACTCCCTCCGGTGCTCCTCTGCGACCCTCTGACATAAACGACCTACCGTGTAATGAACCGCTGCCTTCAGCCTCTGTATAGAAACGCAAAGTTTACAGCCTTTGTCATGGCTCTGCAGAAGGATAAGGCCAGTAGCATCTAGCTTGGTGCACAGTATGCTAACAGCGACATTAAAACTACTCTTACCTGGTGAGTGTCTTCTTTCTCTGACATTTTCTGAGCTGCTGTGATATAAATTGAAGGAATATGCGTATTAAATCAGATATACGTCATGTAGAAATGCACCTTGGATTTGGTAACATGATGCAAGCTAGTTGCTAAAGGGAAGAACTTCCCAGTTTTAGCTCACAAAACAAAAACTCGCGGCTTTCAGCCAACGACGGCGCTTTCTGAGCTGGAAAATTAACAGCGCCCCCTACTGGTTCTTATTTACAACTTTTTTTTTCCCCCCAAGTGCCGCTCCAACTGAGCAACATCATAAAGGTCTAGATTACTAAAGAGATTTCACGTATTTTATGAAAATTAAAAAAATAGCGTAACGTTTTTTAATACACTTATCATACTTTGGTTGCTGAAGGACATAAAACTGTTTAATAAGACCGTAAAAATTAGATTTAGTCCCCTTGTCTCGCTTTCATTTCTAGGTTTTATTATAAAATGTTACTGCAGAGGAATTTAGCAGTATCATTTATGCATTCTGATCCAGCAAGGGAATATATATATATATATATATATATATATATATATATACACACACACATATACACAGTATAAAATATTTAGGAGTATTAGTTAAATGAAAATTAATGCATTTAGTGTATAAATAAAACAAGATTACTGATCAGCTTTTTTTTATTATGCATGCATTTCATTTCATAATGAAAACAGCATTAAGTATCACATTGTCTTTAAGGCTATTTTCATGTCCTCCTTTTAAAGACTTGCTTGCAGACTTCACCTTCACAGGTCAGCTCCTGGAAAACAATTATTTTGTTTTAACAATTGTGAGCATACATGTACATAAATAAAACAATTTAGTCCAAAGTTAAGTAAATAGTTAAAATCTACATTCAACGTTAGTCTGTTTTTTCCTAAATGCTCTTAAAAAAGGACAGATACCAGATGTAGCTCATCTCCCTCAATCCAGTGAGTCCAGCCCCTGTTTCTTTTTTCTCCTTTCTGAACACACACCAGCTTATCGCCGTCCCAGTCAACCACAGACTGGTAGATATGTGTGGGAAAGAAAAAAAAATTGCTCAAAACAGTTTAATCCACAGTACAGTTTGACCATGTGGTTGGTTTTAGATACATGCACAGTTACCTGGCACTTGCGGTTGTCCATTCCCTTCGTCGTCTCTTCAAATTCCTCTCCAATTTTGAAGGAACATTCATAAGTTAACACAGTGGAAATGGTCTGGAAGGTGAAGGAATCTCCATCTTGTTTGATCACCTTCTGCGGCTTCAGCATACAGGCAATTTTGCGTGTAGCAAAGTTTATGTCTGCATAAAAAAAGCCAAGTTTGAATTAATGGAATAACCCAACTATAGGCTGTTTTTTTTTTTTAACAGTGTCCTGTCTGGCAATGTGGCAATAAGAATAATTGTCTTGATGCCAAAAAGAGCCCAACAGATTTTACTTTCACAAGTGTAGCAGTATGGCAATTGCCATATAGCTCCACTTGTTTCATGCATATAAATTGCTTTATTATAATTATGCAGGGAGTTTTACAGTTTATATGGACACTGCAATGTAAATAGAGCAGAAAAACAGAAGGAAAAAAAAAAGAAAAAAAAAGAAAAGATGAAAGAAAGAAGAGATAGAAAGGAGATAATGACAAAACATTTTCATAGGCTGGTTTTTAATTACTTGACAACAAATGAACACACTTAAATTTTATGTCTCATTTTACCACCCAACAAGTAGAAAACTAAGAACTTACCAAGTGCGACCATGTAACCATCTAAATTGTCACTGCTGACCATGTCCCATGTCCCATTGTAGTCTGCAGGCATTTTTGGGGTTT